TTTAATGCACTATTTGTAAGAATGTAAACTGGTACAGCCACTATGGAAAACAGTATAAAAGTTTCTCAAAAAATTAAAAGTAGAACTACCACCTGATCCAGCAGTCCCATATCTGGGTATATATCCAAAGAAAATGAACTGACTATCCTGAAAATATATCTTCATCCCCATGTTTGTTGCAACATTACTCACAATAGCCACGATATGAAAACAACATAAGTGTTCATCAACAGATGAAGAAAATGTGGTATATGTGGGTGTGTATATGTACACATACACCTTTATACATGTACAGACACATGCATACATACATACAATGGAATATTACTCAGCCATAAAAAAGAAGAGAGTCCTGCTATTTTTGACAACATAGATAGACCTTGAGGACATTATGCCAAGTGAAATAGGTCAGACAGAGAGAGACAGATCCTGTATGATCTCACTAATATGCAGAATCTTTAAAAAAGTTCACAGTGGTTCCTTCTTCTCTACCTCCTCACACTTTTATTTGTCTTTTTGATCTTTATGAACTCTTAAGAATGAAATGAAGAGTGAACACATACAGTACAGATGTTCAATGAGCATCATGTTAATACTTTAAAAAGTTGCTGATTTTAGGAGTCATATATTTTTCTGCTAATAAAAGACAAGTGTTCTAAATTTGCTGCTCCATTCTCTGATGATAAGACCCTATTCAACAAATATTTTAGAAGTCATTAACATCTTTATTTTGTCCTTTGATATAAATGTGATATTTAAGCAGAAAGAAATTGTTTTTCAAAAGGAAATCAAGCACTACAGATAGAATTTTGAAGACATAATTGGGATGTGTCCACATATCTTGATATGATTTTGTAGGTAAAAACTATATGAGCAGCATGGTAATTTTTTTCACGTCTGTATATATTATTTTAAAATCTTGGAAACAGAATTTTATCACCTACATGAAAATATTCCAAAGAAGCTCAGTGAGGTTTGATTTATCTTAAACATAAAGAAAAATTGAGCACATTCTCATTAGTTTGCAAGAGCAGATGATTACAAGGGAATATGGTAACTTACTAGGTAAATATTGGGAAAATCCTTTTAAAAATTAGCAGTTAGATTTCAAAACAGAAAGCCACCATTTCGTAAATGTATTCAAGGATGCACTCTTTACAACAAATGTGTATTTGTAAGGAAATGAGGATCTCATACAAAACATGGGGTGGGGGGGAACAGTAATGTAGAAATAGAAAATGTTATCACAGAAGCCTGAAGAGAGAGTTTGAGTGTGGTCAACAGTTCCATATAATATAGTTAGTTAATTAAGATAATAATAATTGACAAATGTGCTTTGGATTGGATGACTAGGAAATGAGTTTGATCTTGATGAGAGATCAGTGTCATCAAAATAGAGGGGGAAGATGTAGAACCAGTTACCACCTGAACCTCCTAATTCCTCTTCTTATCCTAGCATGCACCTAGACTCTGGTTACTTGCCCTGTCTCATTCTGCATTCCTTAAATATGCCTATACATTGAAACTCCCATTACTTTACCTTTAATTATGCTCTCCTTTCAGCATATAAATCCTTACCACACATTTTCTGCTTATTGAAATCTAATTTATCTCTCAAGAAACATAGGAAATGTCATTTCTTTGTAACGTTTTCTCTTAGTCCAAGTTATTTCCTCTTTTGTATTCCCATATACCTTGCTTATAGTTCTTTGTTTTTTTTTAATATTTAACTCAATCTCAGCTGCTCTATATACATTTGTGTAAGTGATTTTACTCTCTAAATTAGCAGCTCCATGAGGGCAGGATTATTTCTTACTTATCTATGATGTTTCCCTTCCAATCCTACCCCTACTATAGGTTTCTCTCTAATCAATGCTGACTCAGTGACTTGTTTATTGTAATTATCACTCAATAAATGTTGAATTTAATTTAAATTCTATAAACATTTTAATAAACATTCTTTGAAGGCCGCTATTATCTGTTATATATACTAAGATATGCGTAGTGTGAAAAGTCAGAAAGAAAATTAATCCACCTAAGAATAAACAAGATTTTCATATGAAGAAGAGCTGGCCAAATATACAAGGGAAGCACAGGTAAGAACTCTTTGTGTTACAAAGACAGTAAGCATTTTGCAGATCAGTAAGTTGAAGATGTCTTCATGGAGGGAATGAGACCTCCTATAAAGACAAAATAAGACTTGGGTAGAGGAATAAGTCAAAGAGGGCATTTTAGATAAGAAGTAGATTCTGAGTAAATATTCTAAGTTATGATGTAGCTCTAGTGCATCAATGAATTTAGAAGTGATTGGTATGTTTCTGGAGATAGATTCTTAAAGGTGAATGGTAGAAAATAAAGTCATAGTTATTATAAACCCAGTGTATGAAGTCCTTGAAATACTGAGATAAGGGACAAAAATTTGGTTTGAGAGTAATGAAGAGCTAAAAACATTTCCAGTCCATAAGAGCATGTGTACAATAGAAAAAGATGTTTATAGAAAACCAATTAAAAATTTCTCTTACACTGTAAGAGGGAAATGAAACAATACAATATCAGAGTTGTTTCAGAGGATGAATCTATAGGATTCGGTCAGATTAATCAAAGGGAATGAAGAAGACTGCAACACTGGTAGATATCACATTTTTGCCTCTTTTCCATAAATCCTAATCTCTCTCCTAATCTTGGTTTAACTCCCACTTCTTCCATTATTAATCAACATGAATTTTTTTTCTCTTCACTATTGTTTTCAAATAAAGAACACTTGAGAGAGAGAGGAAGAAATTGTGCAAAAAAATCTAAAATATACTTAAGCCGACTTTAGTAAAAGCTTTTTGATCTAACTTCAGAATTCCAAAGGATATCCATCTTTAATTGACGCCTTTTGGTTTACCTCTGTTTTGGGAACCGTATCTCTCAGGCTAAGAGTCTTTACCAAAATACCCAGATGCTAGTGCCAAGGAATTCCTCTAGAATCAATGGAGAACTTTAACTTTACCCTAAGGCTAACATAATTATTGTCACTGACCTACTGGTAGAGTGTGCTAGATCATAATTTATTCCCAAATGTTTTAAAGATCAAGATATTTATTCTTAATTTCTGTAATAACAAATATCACATGGCCAGTCAGCTACTATAAAAAGTTTGTCAGTGAACTCAAAATATGAGAATTGATTTCTAATTTATTTAGAATATTAAAATGCAGAAATACACATTTAACTAAAAAACATCAGCATTTTAATTGGTAATACATTTTATCTATTTAATAACTAAATTTTTGGTTTGTCTCAACTTGAAGATACTATGGAAAGCCATAATGAGACACAGTACAGTGGATCATTCTGACCTATTCTGAGTTCAAAAGTACCATTGTGTTATCAATAAATATACAGGTAAGGGTATAAATGATTCTGTAATATAATCCTGAGAGATAGAATAAAACTGATTTTTATTTCAGCTGAATAATTAACATTTTAAATTAAGGGAGAGAAAATGAACTTTCATTCATTATTATTCTAATTCAGTATCTTCTATATAAAATAGTGATTATAGAAAACTAACCTAGATTCCACACATTTTTTCAGTTGATTCACCATTAGGTGTTACTAAAACAATGATAAAAAGCTGTCTTTGAATACTTTTACTGTTTTTCCAAAACATTATAATTCTGAAAGATTTTTTACAGTGTTATAGACCTAAAATATCAAAGACAAACTTATTTTATTCATTTGATTACAATCCTCTAGTGATAAAACTCCAGAAAGCCTTACCATACTATATGAGTAAATAGAAAAAATAGTATATTAAATTCAATGTAGAGAAGGATAAGAAATAGAAAAAAGACTAACCAAAATGTGGTTTTGGAACAATATAATAAGAAGTTACAGGCTTTTCTCCAAAATTGTCTAATTGAAAAATGGTGATGCCAAAGAATTTTAGCAATTTTTGGAAGAAAAGAAAAGTCATTTTAGCATTCTTTAAAACCAAAGTTTCTTTTTATATTGTGTTTGCTAACCTATACTAAATATAAATTTAGTGATCATTGAATTTTAATAAATTTGTAGTGGATTAGGAGTAAATAATGAATTTATAAACACAAATAATCATATAATAAATGTAGAATCTTCATGGGACTCACAAAAACAAGAACATTGGTTTCTACAGAAGTATAAGAGAATACAAGATAGGTATTTATCATGAGGAAGATAAACATTCTGAACGGAGACTTGGTAGCCAAATCTCATAATATTAGATATGCATGTAAGACACTTAAAACTAGAAAGTATTAGGATAAATTAATAATTAAGGATAATAATTTATTGGTGGAGTGTGTCATAACCTCTATAGGAGTAGGATCTAGAATGTATTGAAATAAATACAAAAACAGTATCAAAATTAACTTACTAAGAAAATTTTAAAATGTTCTATATTTTTACCCCATTTTAGAGACTGAATAGGTATTAAAATATCCCTTGGTAAGCTTCTCCGTGAAAGAATACTAAGCTAGAGAAATCATTTTTAAAACCCACTGTGATTCCATGAAATTTTAAAAATAATACACTTAGACATTTAAAATGTCTAAAGTAACTTATTTCCAAACATTACATCAACCCAATAGGATAGTAGTTAAAATGTGTCTATTATTTTATTTTCTTGGAGAAAAAGACACCATAAGAAAATGTCTTCTAATTTTGGAAATGCCAAATTATATATATTGACCAGGAATTCATACATTAACATTGGATAATTTATGCAGAAAACACCTTTCTGCTCTGGAAATTCACACAGTCATTTTTAGATGATCACTTTGTATACAATCTCTGATACTTTTCTTTTTGTATTCTTGACCTACTGCGCGAGTGCTAGTTTGTTAAAACAGCATAGGATGATTTAAAAACAGCTTCTTTCTTTTTGTACATGCAAAAATTAGAGGGGAGAATAAACACACTCTAATTTAGAATTTCATTTCTCTATAATTTCTATCTCAGCTGAGAAGCTAGGAATGGCTAAGGAAAATCAATCCTTGAAAACAGAGTTTATCCTCATAGGATTTACAGATCAGCCAGTGCTGAAGATTCTTCTGTTTTTGGTGTTTGTTGCCATTTATTTCATCACTATGGTGGGGAATCTTGGCCTGGTGGTATTGATTTTTATGGAGCGTCGTCTTCACACACCAATGTACATCTTCTTGGGCAACCTGGCTCTGATGGATTCCTGTTGTTCCTGTGCCATTACCCCTAAAATGTTGGAGGACTTCTTTTCGAAGGACAAAATGATTTCCCTTTATGAATGCATGGCACAGTTTTATTTTCTCTGCTTTGCTGAAACTTCAGATTGCTTTCTCCTGGCAGCAATGGCCTATGATCGCTATGTGGCCATATGCAGTCCACTGCAATACCACACCATGATGTCAAAGAAACTCTGCATTCATATGGCTATAGGAATCTTCATAGCTAGTAATCTGCATTCCATGATCCATGTAGGGCTTTTATTAAGGTTAACTTTCTGCAGGTCTAATCAAATTGATCACTTTTTTTGTGATATTCTTCCACTCTATAGACTCTCCTGTACTGACCCTTATATCAATGAACTAATGATCTATATTTTTTCAATGCCCATTCAAATCTTCACCATTGCCATTGTCTTTGTCTCTTATATCTGCATCATTTTCACCATTTTCAAAATGAAGTCCAAAGAAGGGAGAGGTAAAGCTTTTTCTACCTGTGCATCCCACTTTCTATCTGTTTCAATATTTTACATTTGTCTTCTCATGTATATTCGACCATTTGAAGAAGGGGATAAAGATATACCAGTGGCAGTTTTTTATACAATAGTAATTCCTTTATTAAACCCTTTTATTTATAGTCTAAGAAACAAGGAGGTTCTAAGTGTTCTTAAAAAACGTATGAAGGGGGCGCCTGGGTGGCTCAGTGGTTTAAAGCCTCTGCCTTCGGCTCATGATCCCAGAATCCTGGGATCGAGCCCCGCATCGGGCTCTCTGCCCGGCGGGGAGCCTGCTTCCCCCTCTCTCTCTGCCTGCCTCTCTGCGTACTTGTGATTTCTGTCTGTCAAATAGATAAATAAAATCTTTAAAAAAAAAAAGTATGAAGAATAATAATATTGTTAAAAAAACTTCATCTTCTATGGAAAATTGATTTTAATTTATAAAAATGTTTTATAGAGAAGGGACAAATAAAAAACAAATAAAAAACTGTTTTTATATAAAATATTAATCTCTAAATCATTAGATTGTTTTGCTCAAAGATATATGGATATGATTTCAAAATTGTTTGGCAAATCTTACTGCAAATTCCACAATTACCAGGGCAAATCAGGAGAATACTCAATGGTAACTTTCATTACCAACTCTTATTACCATCACTGAATTGTGTCAGGCTGTTATTCCAAACCTTAATAAACCAACATAGCATCAAATTTAAATGTCTAAATGTGTAGAAAAGTCACCCTGATTTATCTTGTCTAATTAATGGAAAATATTATATCTGATCCCATTATAATGTTTGAAACATTTAAAATTTCCTGGCAGGGAAATAAAATGATAATTTTCATTTCAAAAACTGACATGGGAGACACATGTCAGTTACTCTGGGGGGGGAGAGAGGTTAAAATAATGAAGTCTGATCTAGATAAGACTCCAAGAATGAGGAAAAATGGAATGAGAAGGAACACTCACATAGTCACACACACATTTTGTAGAATAATTAAAATGAATTATAACAAACTGGCTATAGTAGATTAAGATCTACTTTAACCCATAGTATGACTAAGGTTCTTTTTTTTTTAAAGGGGTCAATCATATAATGTATTACGGAATATAGAATAGCAACATATACTCAATAAGCATTTAAAAACATTTTAATGAAGGTACTGCTGCGTTTTTTAATATGTTTGAGTAAGAGTAAAATGTATTACTATTTTATGTGTTTATTGGTCATTTTTACTTCTACAAATTATCTGATCATTTTTTCTTTAAGTCTCAATTTTCCTCATTTATTTGTACCACTCATTACAGACAAAAGATATTAAAATGTAACTATTTGTGGGTAATACTTTCTCTGTGTGTTAATATTATTTTAATATATTTGTTATTTATAAATGATAAATATAATCTTATATACTCACGTTTATTAATTTTGATCTTATGTGATCCCTTACATGCTTTGTTTAGAATTTTTCTTAATCTGACATCTACTATTAACCAATATTTTTTTTCTTCTAGCTCCTACCCTTTTTCTTCTTCTTCCTCCTCATCGTTCATTTTTTTAATAGTTAAATTTTTTTCACTAGGCTCTTAATTCTTCCTGGAGTTTATTTAGTATATAGCATGAATTGAGGATATAACTTTATTTGACTTCTTCTTTCAAAAATAATACACAGATTAAGTTACTCAAATAAATATCCAAGGAAAATATTCTTCTTTAGAAACCTGGCAAAATAATTTTAAAATTTTCCTAGAAAACTAATAACCAATAAACAGACTTGATGTATCATGTATTAAAATATATAATGAACTTCCAATAATTAAAATAATTTGGTTTTAAATTGAGAATCAGTGGCTAGATCAATGGAAAATGATTATCCAAAAGTAAACTTTCATGTAAAATAAGAACATCATAAATCAATCAGTAAAGAAAATTATTTAATGAATAGTCCTAGGTTAATTGATTAACCATTTATCTCTTCCATTGTGTTAACTGCATAAGTTCCATCTCATTCAGAGATATTATATAAACATAGTATTTTTTTCTTTTATCATACCTTAAATTTTTATACATAGCACTTTTACTCAACTGGGATTCACTTCATAATGTTGTGAAGTGAGAATTAAAGTTTTATTTTTTTATGGCTAACCAGTACTTCTAAAAGTATTTATTAACTAACTCTTCCTCACTCACTGATTTATTATGCCTCCTTTTTTGTTCCTACACTCACATGCACGTATATACACTAAGTCTATTTCTAGTCTACCTAGTTTGCACAACAAAAACAAGAGAGCTCTGGCCCCTATATTTATATTGCAGAAGGGAAGACAGGCTTTTTTTTAAGAGTAATTAAACTAAATTGCAATAAGTAGCAGGATTGGGACTCTTCTGCCTCTACCCATAGTTGAAAGAATAGGATTGAAAAAGACTCAGCCATGAGATTCTTTATTCTAGTATTTCTATTATTTTTTATATGATTTCATCTATTTTTATGGATTTTTAAAAAGATTTATGTATGTATGTATGTATGTATGTATGTATGTATTTATTTATTTCACAGAGAGAGAGAGAGAGCACAGTGGGGGGCAGCAGCAGAGGGAGAGGGAAAATCAGCTCCCCGCTGAGCAGGAAGCCTGATGCAGGGTTCCATCCCAGAACCCAGAGATCATGAGCTGAAGGCAGATGTTTAATCCACTGGCCCACCCAGGTACCCCTATTTTTATGGCTTTAATTTCATTAATATGAAGGTGACCCAAAATGCATATTCCCAGCCAGACATCTTCCCTAATCTCCAAACTTAGTTATTCAATTGCCAAGCAGGACATAGTAATTTGAATATTTCAAAGACATCTCAAATTTAACATGATCAAAAAGCCACTCTAATTTGCCTATAAACATGGATATCCCTGGTCTTCTCTATCTTGATGGAGCATCCTCCAACTAGTTGGGCAAAGAAGAAATTAGCAGAAATTTTGCATCTCTCTCTGCTTTCACATTTAACATCTCACACAATCTATCAGTTCTATCTCAGAAATATAACTGACATGTGTCCACATCCTTCCATTTATAGTAATTCTCACACACTATGCTTCTATCATCTCTCACTGAATAATATTAGTGGCTTCAGCTCTCACTGCTGTTAGTCCTTTTATTTCATTTTAATTTTCATTCAGGAACCAATTTAAAAAATAGTATCACAAAATACATTCCAAAGACTACAGTCTTCTGCCCACATGACCTTGTGATTTTCTTTATTTTCTGTAGCAACTGGTTTGAGATATTAAAACAAAACAAAACCCAGACTCTCAGATGGAGATGTGCATGTAGAAGTTTGTTGGAGAATGGTCTCAGGCTTCATAATTATTGATGGATTGAAGGAAGTAACATTGGACAGAAGGTTGAGTTGACTATAGTCACAACAAAGACCTTAGCCAATCTGGTGAAGAAGTGGGGATTTGGGTTCTCCCATCAAGGTCTCCACGCCTAAGGCAGGGACCTGGAATTTACACTTTCCATGGAACAGTCATTAACAGTATTTAGCAGCAATATACCAAGATAATTATCTAAGAACCAACATGACCTTTGAGGTTGACAAGTGAGATGAGGACAAGAGGTCAGTGCAATGGTGGAGGATGACGCAGAGGTCTGGGTTACCTATTTGGGCAAGCTATTGTATTCTCAGGCTCTGTTCATGCCAGATGCTTGAATGTGCCTTTTTCATCTTCTAGTGAATTACTCCTAGGTCCGCTCAATCTTATACTAATTTGTCTGACAAAGTCCTGCTCATGAAGGCAATTCTGGCCTCTTGGTCATGTGATATCCCAAGGTCAGAATCTCTTCCTCTAGCAAGGTTCACAGCACAACAGGAAGTTATTTTTTGAATATTTTATAATTCTCTCCTAAAGAGAATAAAGTCTTGTTCTGAAACCAAAAGGGTGTATGTTATGGTTCTCCTATCACAGTTTTCCATAAACTCTAATATTGGATATTCTATATCCAGTTTATTTCCATAAACTCCAACTCAGATATTTCTAATACTATTGGTCTGCTCAGTCAGTGTGAACCTGCTGAAGAAAGCTTTCTTGTTCTGAGACCCACTCAAAGCTTGCATTCTTCTCGCATTTGAGCAGATCTATCTGTGTATAGTAACTTTTCAACTTCGTAAGACATTAAGAGATGTTTGGAAACAAATACAAGCAAGTGTTTGAATTGCTGTTATCACAGTGCTAGGCTATAATTTAAATAATCCATAAGTCACATTTTTCTGAATAAGATTATTAATTAATAATAGTGTTAGTGGGGAGTAAACAATGTTTTAAATCTATGAATACATAAAACTAAACATTTTAATACCATTTCTTTAGTCTAATTCTTTTTGAATTCCTCTTCTCATGTTTTATAGTACATAGTAATTTAGTATATGGGTACATCTATCTAATTTGTAGGTAAGAATATATATATTTAGAACACACTACCAGTGATCTTATTAATATGAATATACACCAAATGGTTTGAAATATTTTCTCTACTGAAGCCATCAGCAGATGAAAGATAGGTGAAAACACAAGAAAGATGAGATAATATGGGGAAAACTAAAATGAAAGAAGAGGGAGGTCAAGGATACAATCAGAAAGAAGCATCATTCAGGGCAAAGAGGGAAACATGACCGAGCGTAAACATTGAGATGGAACAATCAAGAGGACAAAAGCAGAGAGGGTTACCAAAAGAAGACATAAAAGACTTCATAGTACCAAACACTATATTTGGTTAGGAATATAATTAAGTATTCTTCAGGACATTTAAAGTTGGTTGTGACCTTGGAGAGAGAAGGTTTTAGTGAATTGGCAGGGCAGAGAAAATAAATGGGAAGGATTCAAATAAGACAATTTCCAATCTATTTTCCTATTCTTTTTATATTACCTATTGTGTCTCCTTGTTATCATGTACAAATAAACTTCAGCAACTCTAGTTTACTGTCCTTTTTTAAAAAATTAGACCTGACTCCTCTTAAAGTCCAGGCTTCTATACATGGTTCCCTCAGTCTATTGCTTTTCCTCATGTTCTTCCCCAATTCTTATCCTGCTTATCCTGTAAAGTTATCTGAAATTATACTTCCACTGGGAAGCCTTCCTTTCTTCTTCCAGGTCACCATTCATTTCCCTCACTATGTTTTTAAATAACATGTTTACACTTCTTTTATATTACAGCCTAAATTGCAAACTAGTTAACAATGTAAGTGCCTTTCTTTCTGCCCACTAGATGCAGAGCTTCTTGTCAGGAGTCATATATAAAAACTAAGAACTTATCTCCACCATTTTCACATCCTGTGCACATACTTCTCATAGTCTTTTCCAATACCCTTCAAATTGAAAGTACTTGATAAAAGTTACACAGAATGGAAATCTTAGCACTTAGTGCAGCAAGATCTAGCTCAGTTTGTTGTCAGTTTCTCAAAAAGATGCATGACATGATTGGTGACTTAATATGTAGTCAAGACTTTTACAGTCAAGACACATATGAGTCACACTTGATACAGTGGTGAAAGCATTATAAAAGCAGTTAAGTATCATGTAAATCAAGAAAAGAAAATATCAATTCTGTTTAAGGACCTAGGAAAGTCCTCATGAAGGAGATCTGATTTGAGCTCAAGGATGAGTAGTTTTGAGATGGAAGGAAAGAGAGAAGGAGATTTAGATGAGGGAAACATAATAAGTGAATTAGCTGAAGCACAGAAGAGCAGTGAAAGGATGCAACATGACCAAGTGCCCCTGACCTAAGAGGAAGAAAGGAAGGGGTTAGATAAAACGGCTGACTGTGGAGCATCTGGAATACCAAAATAAGAAAAAATGAATTCGGTTTAAAAACTAATAAGAAACCATTGAAAATTCCTGAGCAGTAGAGTATCAATTTTAATTCATTCAACAAATATGTGTTAAGCACTACAAAGTACCACTATTAAGGGCATTAGAAATGAAGGAATGATAATTGTCTTTCTCTGACTTATCTCACTTAGCATAATACCCTCTAGTTCCATCCACATCATTGCAAATGGCAAGATTTCAGGGTTTTTATGGCTGCATAGTATTCCATATGATCTCTCTGATATGAGGAATTGGAGAGACAGATAGCGGGTTGTGGGGGGAGGGGAGGGGAAAAAATGAGACAAGATGGGACGGGAGATGGAGACAAACCTTAAGTGACTCTTAATCTCAGAAAACAAACTGAGGGTTGCTGGGGGGTGGGGGGGATAGGGTGAATGAGTTTTGACATTGGGGAGAATATGTGCTATGGTGAGTGCTGTGAATTGTGTAAAACTGATGATTCACAGACCTGTACCCCTGAAACAAATAATACATTATATGATAATAAAATAAAAAAATAAAAAGAAAAGAAAAAGAAATTAAGGAATGAACATCACAGAGAAATCCCTTCCATGTTATGTCTATAGCAAATGGTGGCAGTGGGAACAAGTGACTGCTTATAGACATGATCTACATATTAAATATACAGTATATTTATATGATTAGTAGAGTGAAGGGGAAAAACAGGGTAAGAAAGATAAAGGAATTGGGGTGAACTGAAAAGAACAGAGAACAACTCAGTAAATCATATGTGGGGCTAAAGGGTAACAGCAACGTTTCCATGAGGGTTTTGCAATACATGGGAAAAAATTCAGAGTGAAGGTGCTGATGAGCCAGCTAAGCCTACTACAACTTTTGGTCTCCTCTCTAAATGCTCATCATCTTTCATAAACCCTATTAATCTCCAGTAACTGTCCAAACTGACCTGAGACTCTCTTTTGCTCATTTTATGTTTATATGCACAGGATAATGAACAGAATTCTAAAAATGATGTCAGTTACATAAGAATCAGCAAGATAATATCAAATGACTTAGTGACTTTAACTAAGATCATTTATTCTAACCTCATTGTCTCACAGGTTATCTTTAATATGTCACAGAGTTAATATGTTTTGGGTACTGAATCTCCCCATAGAAATCCGCTGTCATTGTAGGGAAGTCCCATAAGCATTTGATGGAAAGTTTAATTTTGCATTGTAAGGAACATAATTATTGACACTGAACTATTAGTAGTCTTCCAGATTTACATTCTTTTAATCCCAAATGTTTTTGAGACCGGAATTTATATCCTGAAATTTTACAAGACTTAACACCATTAAAAAAAAAAAAAAGGCAATGTGATCTTATAAAACTCTTCAACATTCAGGTAGAGGAAGTATTCAAATTTATCTTTACCTTTACTATTAGCACCCGTCATTATTTATTTATCTGAATTAGGTAGCATTTTTTCATTGTTCTCAGATTTCAACTTCTCACCTTTCTAGGTCTTCCCACAACTGAAGGCTATGGTAAATTAGCATGAGATTTAAACTGAGTTCATGCTGATCTTTTCTGATTATAAGGTAAATTTTCAAAATATACAGGTAAGAATACAGATTAATTCTGTTAACCCAGAAAGTACATTGAAAGTTACTTCTAATGTAGCTGAATAATTAAATGGTTTATATGTATTATTTTAAGACAAGAAAATAAAACATTCAACCTGTACTTTCATTTTGATGTTTCAATTATGGAAAAATAAACCCATTTTGACCATAAAATTTACATAATTAGATTGGTCAATATATCCCGATGGATCACTAAGTAATGATAGAAGGTAGTCTTTGAAAGAAAACAAAATTTGTTCTCAAAAATCAAATTTTTTAACTTTTTTTTGTATATTCATTTGACAGAGAGAGAGAGACAGAGAGTGCAAGGAAGGGGAGAGGTAGTGGGAGAGGAAAAAGCAGACTCACCACAGAGCTGGGAGCCAGACATGAGGCTCAATCCCAGGACCTGGATGTCATGACCTGACCCAAAGGCAGATGCTTAATCATCTGAGCCACCCAGGAGCCCCATCTCAAAAATCATATTAAGATTTAAGGTTTTTCTCCTTTGCTAAGTGTTACAAAACTAAAATATACAGGCAAGCAGGCAAGCTTATTTTTTTTTAGCTTTTAAAGTACTATGATATACTTCAGAAAATCTTACATAAGTTTCTTAGGAAATAGGAAAATAGTAGACGGGTTAATTCAGATTAGAGAATGATACATAATGTTTTTAATGATAAATTTTAAAGATTAAATTTTGAAATTCCTTTGTAGGCTATTCTTCAAGATAAGCAGTCTCAATTTTCAGAAACCAAAGCTGTCACTAAGGATCAGTGGTAGTATACTGACAAGTTCACCTGTATCAGGTGTTTGAAGCTAGGACTGGAATCAATACTTTTTTCTCTATAGCATTAAATAACTCTTATAAGTATAGGTCATAGCTTAACTCAAATGTCTGCAATTCTAATAAAGAAACTGTATATGCATATATGAGGGAAAAAAGCCATGTAGATTATACACAAGCAACTCTAGATTGTGTCGGGTATATAGGATATGCTTGAGAATCCGGGAAGTGAAAATCAATGTGGTCTGGAGAATTTAGTTTAAACTTTCTTAAGTAGCATTATATGTAAACATTATATGTAAGCATTATATGTATGGTTTACATAAAGAAAGAAGGGATTTAGAAATCTGGGCAAAGATCAACAGGAATGATGTCATGGACAGAGCTAATACCAGGGAAAGGGATGAGAAGAGGTGAAAATATATAGATATTTATTTCCTTGGATATTCCAAGTAATTTTCTCTGAAGGTGAAGATCCCATTTTTAATCCTTTGTGATCTTCATACAATTCCTAAAATATAAATTAAATATCTGTTGAATGTTATTTTCAAGCATTCACTCCACTGGGAGAGTATATGAAAGCTTTTTGCTCAGTTAAAAAATGTGTGTATATATATATATAAATGGATTGTAAATTTAAGGATCTTTAATACAAAAACTGACACTGAAATATTTTCCAACAATGAACCAAATATAGGAATGATAGATTTACACTACTCATGCATGAATTCATAAAGATAAACCTTATCCACTGTAAGCATTCTTCTTGGAATTACAAAAATATTCATGGAAATACTGATTTACAGAGTAGAGGTTATAAAGCTGGCATTTTAGGGGAATGTGTGTGCCTGTATCCAGAGATACTAAGGGAAGTTTAAAGAAGCTCCTCTCTTTGTTGTAAAAGAAAAATTTGGAAGGAAATTTATGCACACTTTAAATTAGAATCTTGTATCTCCAAAATTCCTATCTCAACAGAGAAGGTGGATATGACTGAGGATAACTACTCCTTGACCACTGAATTTGTCCTCATAGGATTTACAGATCACCCAGAGTTGAAGAGCCTCCTGTTTGTGGTGTTTCTCACTATCTATGTGATCACTATGGTGGGGAATCTTGGCCTGGTGGCATTGATTTTTATGGAGCATCGTCTTCACACACCAATGTACATCTTTCTGGGCAACCTGGTTCTGATGGATTCCTGTTGTTCCTGTGCCATTATCCCCAAAATGTTAGAGAACTTCTTTTCAAAGGACAGAATTATTTCCCTTTATGAATGCATTGCACAATTTTATTTTTTCTCCCTTGCTGAAACTGTAGACTGCTTTCTCCTGGCAGCAATGGCCTATGATCGCTATGTGGCCATATGCAACCCACTGCAGTACCACACCATGATGTTAAAGAAACTCTGCATTCAGATGACCACAGGAGTCTACATAGCTGGAAACCTTCATTCCATGATTCATATAGGATTTCTCTTTAGGTTAACTTTCTGTGGGTCAAATCAAATTAATCACTTTTTTTGTGATGTTTTTCCATTATACAGACTTTCCTGTGTTGACCCTTATGGCAATGAAATGGTACTATTTATCTTTTCAGGCTCAATTCAAGTCTTCACCATTGCCAGTGTCTTAATATCTTACCTCTACATTCTCTTTACTATTTTCAAAATGAAATCCAAAGAGAGAAGAGGCAAAGCCGTTTCTACTTGTGCATCTCACTTTCTCTCTGTCTCAGTATTCTATGGTTCTCTTCTTTTTGTGTACCTTCGCCCACATTCAGTTAAAGAAGAGGATGAAGATATACCTGGTGCTGTTTTTTATACTCTAGTGATCCCTTTATTAAATCCTCTTATTTATAGTCTAAGAAATAAGGAAGTAATAAAAGCTATGAAAACAATTATAAAGAATATTTTATAACATTCTAAAAGAAATATCATCCTCTGTGGAAAATTAACTTAAATTTGAAAAAAATGTTTTTTAAACCATGGAATGTTGAGAAAGTAGAAGAGAGCCACTTTGTACATAAAATATTCAATTACTAAAACATGATAGTATAGGAGTCAAATTAGTAAGTTCAGCAAGGAGAGATTCTGCTACAATGTTTTCCAAAATCTAAGCCACCACCTTCCAGTAACAATGAACTAAATAATTTTTCTTCATGTTACAAAGTGTTTCACAAAGAAATTAGTTAAACCATTAACTTTGTTTCAAAGAGTATTAAATTATAATTTTCAATAAATATAACATTAAGATAGAAGTCAGTATATATAAAGATCACCTCCATATAATATTGTTGACAAATTTCTGGAATTCCAAAGCAAACTCTGGCATATCCCAGGTTCCCAAGAATTAATCCCTGATCAAGCAACATCATCTGTCAGAAGTAAACTGTATATATTTGATTCTTAATTTTCTTTGAGTTTATTCAAGAGAATATATTTGAATATTAGTTCACACAGAATATTCTCAAATCAATATTTTCATCCTTGAAAGTGGAAATTTTGTTATATATCTTTTCACACCATTAAAAAATATTAAAAACAAGAATACTAATAAAATGTGTAATAAAAAAGACTATTTTCATCTTTAGTGTTAGTCAATTTTATTCTCAAGTTCTCTGAAATACCGTATCTGTACACTGGTGATTTATCAATCTGTAATTAAAATAGTTGATACTTATGGATTTTATATCCACATGGATTTGGATATTTTCATATACTTTGATGAGGTGTCATTCAAAAATGAAATGTAATCTTGAATACATTAAATTAAAAGTTTTTTTCTCTGATATTACTTATCTTGTTATTAGGAATCCCACCAACTTGTACTGACTCCAGTGTAAGTTACTGATACATTCACAACATTAACAAAAAGTTGGAGATGGTGTAAAGCATAAATGAGCCACAAATTAGTGAAAATTGTAAATACCTAAACAAAAATATTTATTGATCATTTAAATATGCAAATATGAAAGAAAAAAGTAATTTACTGAGGCCATGTTATCTGCTAGGAATGAAACTAGAACTTTCATATATATTACTTACCAACTGGTTAGATATGATTTTGTATGGATTTTCTCAGTAAAAACCTCATACTTTGAAACAATGAGTGGCTTGCTCAAGTTCAACCAGGTGATTCAGATTGAGCTAGAATTTGTATCAATATTGCTTGGGAGCTTAGGAAATGGAGATCCTTGTCACCTAGGGTATTTAGTCCTTATACAGAATCAGAAGTAAGATGTGCCTTAAAAATAATTTTTAAAAAATGATGTTTGGAGAAAAAAAGATATGAATATAACAGTCAATGTTTATGGAAATAAGTGTGACACTGGGAACTGGGACGAAGGAGGTGAACCATGGACAGAGTCAGAAAGCTGACAAAACTCTTGTTAAAAGCTGTTGTGGAATATGAGAAGTAAGGATGGAAAGGGATCAGGTTACTGAGAATCTTAAATGCCACCCTTAAGAATCGGACTTTATCTCAAGAGGCATCAGACACTGAATACTTCCTAGAGCCAGGTAATATGATTGTATTTTTTAGAAAACTAATCCAGCAATTGATTGGAATGAAGCTAGAAGCAATGAGGTTAACTGCAAGAATTCATATATTAGATGATGAGAACTGACACTGGAGGATAAAAGGAGAGGAGGGCACAGATAAAAGCAACATTTTAAAGAAAAAGTAGGAAACTGTAACTACTGGATAATAAAATGAAGGCCTATCTTCTTCCTGTGAGTACCAACCTACTTATTACTAATTTCTTATCATTAATACTTAAAAAGGTATCTAACACATCTGGCCATTTATTAGCCATTCCCTTTAATATATTTTAATATAATCATTTATATTAATATGTAATGGGTTTGTTATTTTTATTTTTAACAAGTCAATAAATAATTTTAATTTCATGGTTTTAATCTCTAATATTGTAAGTGGTATTAGCTATAACCCACAACATAAAGCTCTACAGGGTCCTTAACACTTTTTTAAGGGTGTAAAGGAATCTGGAAACCTGAGTTCTATGAATGCTGTTCCTTTGTAGCCACTATTTTAGGGGATATTTTTAGCTGTCAAATTCACACGCTTTGATCCCTTTCCTTTTTCCAGGCATATGACAAATTCTGTTTTTGTATTTCTGCACCACCCACTTCTAACCCTTAGCAACACTGAAGCCTAGAGGTCTGTTAAAGGAAGAGTCCGTGACTTATTTGGGGCCAATGAGACAAAAGAGGTAGTTTTCTGGAAGTTTCTGGGATATAGGCTTCCTTTGTTTTAAAAGGAAGTTTAAAAACTTTTGTTTTAAAAGGTAGTTTTTCTTCCGCTGAATGTCATGCTGTGTGGATATGAAATCTGGCACAGTCTACAACCATTTTGCCTCCAAAAGAGAAACCAGCCTGGAGATAAAAGTCAACACACAAATGAGGGCATAGCTGAGGGAATCACAGAGAGGAAGACTCAGGGTCCTTGGAATTAACCATTTCTTCTCACTTTAAAATCCAATAGATCTTCTTACTGTTAACTTTGTTTGGAAAAAATGCTTTTATTACAGTTCAATAAATATTAACAGATATATTCATGTCTCTTGCCTCATCTCTCATTTTCTGCTTTATTTTAAATTAATTCTAAGACACCCTTTTAGCTTGCAAATAACTTTTCATCAGTATCCATTTAACTACTCAGCTTATCTACTATATTTTTTACTTCTACTCCTATATTTTAATTTCCTATGGCCCCCCTGAAAAAATGGGGAAAAAAGAGGTTTCGTAATTTGTCCACAGAAATATTAAGGTGGAGCTCAAGGAGATTAAATTGAGGGATCCAAACCAAAATCCATGTTCTTAACGACTAAGTCATATTGTACACAACACAGAGAAGTGAAAGTAGCAGGAAAGGAAAACTTTCAAGAAACTAAACTGTTAAGTGGATATAGAAATAGGACAGAGAATCAAGAAAAATGTGAATCAATGACATTTTCAGATTTATTTTGAAAAATTTCA